TGGTTTTTTTCTTTTTTTTTGTTTTTTTGGTTTTTTTTTGGTTTGGTTTTGTTTTGTTTTGTTTTGTTTTAAAAATTTGTTTATTTATTTTAGAGTCCATTGTGGAGTCTAGAAGAAACTCCAGTGCAGTTCTGTCATGAACCATGTAGTCCTTATTCAGCATGTAACTGCAGCTTGTATTAGCTTGTGCAGGTGTGAAGCAGGATGGCAGACAGGAGGAGCAATGCTGGAAAGCCACTCTGGAGTGAAGGAGGGGGAGAGAGAGTGGGAGAAATGAGGGAGAGKGAAGAGAGGTGGATCAAGTGTTAAGACGTGCATGTGTGTTTAGTGCTAATTCCCTGTGAGGATAAATCCATTTTCCAGTAATTCTTTGTAAATGCGTGTGGTCTAGAAATCTTGGAATCAGAGTTTTTGGATTCTGGAAACTGTTCATTTGAAACAGCAGAGTTACAGAGGAAGGAAAATGGCTGTAAGACTTTTGAAATTGTCTGGATGGGGTTGAAGGTGATTAGGGCCTACCATTGTTAAAAGTGTAGTCAAGGGATCTGGGAAAACATCTGTAGCRCAGGGAAGGGTGTATGAGCATCACAGACTGTGTTTCCTTTTCAGCATTAAATTGGAATGACTTGGCTACTCACTCATGGTATTTTTAGCCAGTGCCACACAGTAGCCAGAACCCCTGTGGTGTCATTTCCATCTTGAGCACAGAGGTTTCCACAGGCCCTGTGAGATGGCCTGTGTGACACCGTGAGGATCACAGGCTGTGCTCCACAGGCCATGCGAGGTGGCCTGTGTGACACCGTGAGGATCACAGGCTGTGCTCCMCAGGCCATGCGAGGTGGCCTGTGTGACACCGTGAGGATCACAGGCTGTGCTCCACAGRCCATGCGAGGTGGCCTGTGTGACACCGTGAGGATCACAGGCTGTGCTCCMCAGRCCATGCGAGGTGGCCTGTGTGACATGCAGGGACCCCCTGGCCTGACCTGGTGCTGAGGCAGAGGAGTACAATCAGCCCGGCTTCCTGCAAATACTTTCACTCACTGCCTGTAAATCCCTCTGGAAGATTTGATTTCTCCCTACTCTGGAAATTACTTCTTCCAACTCAGTAGCACCTGGCAGTCTCTTATAGCTTATCCAGATGCCTTCAGAACTTTCCATCGAGAGGAAGCCACCTGGATGGGGACAGAGACGGAGAATTTTCCTGGTGCTGTGGGAAAGCAGCAGAGTTAGCATGGAGGGAGGCTGTGAGGGCATCCTCAGTCCAATAGGTAACCAGGCAGGGAAAGCAGCTTTCAGAGTCTGGCTGGAGCAGATTTTGGCAACAGCCCAGCCCCTGGTGCTGACGTTGAGCCATGCAGACAGCTGCCATAGACCTTTTCCTGACATGGCGTTCATTCAATTACTCACAGTCTGTTTCTTTCCTTGTCAGAGTTTGCCTATGGAGGGCATCCCTACCCTTTCAGTGGGATTTTCGAGATCACACCTGGCAGTGCGGTAGAACTTGGCGAGACCTTTAAATTCAAGTAAGGGCCCTTTTGTACATCTTCCCCTCTGCCCCTSGTAGCCATCTGTGTAGGGGGACCAGGGAAGTCCTGTCCTCTGGGTCCTTCTTTCTCTCTCCTCAAAGTGCCATCACTGCCATCCTTTACATGATTCTGATTCAAAGGTAGCCCTGCAGGGATTTTGGAGGTGGATAAAAAGAGTGTGTACACCAAACAGAGAACAGTGATGAGCTGTGTTTGTCAGGGATTAAAAGTACACTTAMAAATGAGTGCAATTCTCTCCTCTCGTTTTATTCATCTTCTGTGCTCCCAGTTTCACAGAGCCAGGAGAAAAAAAGAAAACTTCTCTTTTTATGAGTACCCCCTATTTGTGGATACTGCACAGAGTATCTGAAGTCATCTCATGTGTTTATTGCTGATCTGTTACAAGGGAAAGAATGGCTGCTGGAGGAGTCTGAGAGGATGCTACATTCTTGTGCTGTTCAAGATGCTCAGACTGTGTGACTGTGGGTCAAGGAAATGTCCATGGCATGGGGGCTTGACCTTCCCAGTCTGCCAGTTTATATTGAGGGTCATTTTAGAGCAAGTTCTACTGAGTGAATATTGGGAGAAGCAACAGTTTTCTGCGTAAAGTTTTCAGTCTGCTCCTTCCTGGCCCACCCCATGGGCACCCTCTCAATTGTGAAAAAAAAAGCACCTCCTCTGTTGTAAAGGAAATTTCTGTTGTGGGATGATGGGCAGAGTGGGAGCAGATCCCCAGAGCTGAGACTTCCCTGGTGGTGAGCAAGAAGATCCCATGGCTGTTGCCTGTGTGGTGACTTGTGGAAAAGCTGGGGATATTACCGTGCTAATCTGTTGCTGAGTCCCTAAAAGCCTCATACATGTCCATAATGTTTTAAGCTTGTCCTTCTTGCCAATGTCTGACCATTTCCTTCTCCCTTGCTATGTATCACACTTTTCACTGTATCTTTCCATCTTTCCTGTTGTATGTTTTGTTTTTAACTAGAGAATCCATTGCCTTGGGCACCACAGACTTCACAGAAGAGGATGTGGATAAGATTATGGAAGAGCTGGGCAAGGAATACAAAGGAAACGCGTACCACTTGATGCACAAGAACTGTAATCACTTTTCTTCTGCTCTGGCCGAGGTGGGCACAAATGGGGTTTATTTATATATTTTTTTACTGCTTCAGGTCTGTAGTAATGCTCACAGAAAGGGATCTGGGGTCAACACATCCTGCCAGGTCAGAGTCCATAGCCAAATATCCTGTCTCTGCCCTAATTATTTTGGAAGCCCTTTGCTGTTGAAAGGGATGGGATCGGGAGGTTAGAGATGTGGCAGGTTTATTGCATGTTTGGTCTAATTGTGTGGGAAATTAGGAGTGCTTGTAATTTGGTTCTCTGAACAGGCTCTGAGCAGGAATTGAAAGGACCGACCTGGTTAGCATGCAAATGTGCATCATTAAAAAAACCCAAAACATAAACAACCCTATATGATCTGCAAAGGCATAAAAATGGTTTACAGTATTCAGAGAGTGGGTCTTCTTTTCCTTTATTTAATGTGCACCATCCAAAAYCTATTAAAAAAGAGAATTATAGATGTCTTTGGTGCTTATGCATTTCCRTGTTCTCAAAACCACCGTGAATATTAACAGAGCTGTTATTTCTCYTTAGAGACAACTGAAGCACAGAGAAACACACTTTTATTCCAGATATCTGCTGATTTGGGGTATCTGATTTTTGATTCCCAAAGATCTGATAATTTTGGGGGGAAATTGCCTTCCTCCTCACCCCCCAGATGAGATGTTTAAAGTGTGTTTCAGTAAAGGTCTGTGTATTCAGCCTTTGTGTAAAATCTGATTTCCAGATCTTGACCCACTGTCAGAAAAAGATGGGAAAAGCACAAAATGGAAGTGACCTTCCATAAAAACTGTTTCTGTGCTTCCCATAGTTGCTTTATGGCTAACTCAAGGAGAGAATATAATTTGCTGTGATAGGCTATGACTGCTATAACAGTGAAACTTAAATTTCTTCCTCTGAAATCCCMAACCTAATTAATTCTACATCTCTTGACTTTCTTCATCATATGGAGCAAGGGTTTTATGCCMACAACCTCTTTTGCCCCAAGTATCCATTTACCCCCAAACAAGCGCATCACAGATCCCAAGTGGGATGTGTGGAAAAACTACTACATGATTTTGTAAAAAAACCTAGTGAATCTGAGAAGCAGCTACTAATTTACAAGGGACCTGTTTAGGCTCTTAGGAACACCAATTCTCTRTTGGTTCCTTATTAATCCTTGTTAATTATATATAGAATCCTTTCTGTAAATGTTAGCAATTCAAAACAAAGGAATTTAATTGGTACAAACAGAGAATGAAGTTTCAAGCAGTACAGTGAACAAATCAATGTTAGCCACACTACTAATTTGGAATCCAATAATCAGATTACTAAAAGAGAAAATAGGAACTTTAAAAATTATGAAGTAAACCCAGGAGAAAGCTGTGGGATTATTAGGAAGAGATAAAAAAAATCCTTTACTGGCAGCAGTGAAATAAAGTCATTGCTAACTATGTAAAATGTTTGTCTTGTCTCCCAGCCATAAGCTGAAAACCATTCTTCCTTGATTTTATCACTACATATCAGTGTATCCCTCACTGCYCTTTCCTTGTCCAGCCTTGACCTTGTCCAGGTCAAGTAAGAGATCTTATAAAAAACTAGTAGTGTATTTTAAATTTTGTTTTCAATGTGCATTCAGTGAGCATCTTTATATAGAGTGGAATTTAGGRTTAAGTTTCCCTGCAAGAGCTTTCATGGTGGATTCATGGTGATCATTCATTGCCCCGTAACCTGTCTAGATAATAAAGCAAGAGTCTGAATGGCTAGTTCTGACACTTCTGCTCCCAGGAGCAGAATTTACTTGGGATTTACGTCAGTTTAAATAAACCCTTCATAGGCAAGCAGGATTTTTTGTTGCTTTTGCTTTTCACATATGCCTGTGTTTATCAACTCTCTCTAAAGCATTACAAATGCAAACCCCGAGGAGCTGGACAGCAGGCCTAGGAGCAGAATGTCCTGGATGGTCTCTAGCATGGGGATACAGAAAATGGGAGCTGAAATTCTTATAAAAATAGCTGGTGGTAAGAGAGTAAGCAAAGTATCAGCCATTCAATGTGCCTCAGTCAGCACCATGAGGAAATATGTGTGGCTGCCTTACAATAGGTATCTCCWTCCATTCTGGAAAATACAGTAATTTTGGCAATTTGGAGTTGGGTGGGAAGCAGCATAGCTTATTCTTGGGATACTTCTGATTTTTTGGAGGAAGACTGCTTTAAATCTGTGGAGACAGAACCTGCTTGAAATGAAAGCAATGAAAGTTTCTCTTTTCTACATCTGAGTGCTTTCTTTACAGCCCAAGTGATTTTTTTTCTCTTCTTGCTGTAGTTCCCTTTAAATCTAAACAAACCAAAAATCACCCCATTGGGAAGCTCCAGTCCCTTCCACATAGAGGAATAAGATGCCTCTTCACAGTGCGCAGAACTTACTGGCTTTGTGATGACTGGCTCACAGGACTGTGTAGATATGTGTCACCATATAGAACAGAAAAAATAAATTATATTTGTGCCCAAAATCAATTCTGAGATGAGTCTCTTTAGTATTTGTATTGCTCTTTCCTTCAGACTCTTCRTCTGTGAAGGAGTAATAATAACAATAATAATAACAACAACCTCTATGACGAGAACAACAACAACAATATTTAGTACCTATTTATGAATACTCATGTTACGTGACAGTTAAAGACATTAAACTGGAAAAATTATTCAAAGAATTAAAAGAAAAGATGGAGAAAATTTGTTCAACAGAATGAAGCACTGGAACTGGGATTAAATTCCACCCACCAAAAAAAAAAAAAAAAAAAAAAAAAAAAAAAAAAAAAAAAAAAAAAAAAAAAAAAAAAAAAAAAAAAAAAAGAGCCAAGGATTTTCTGTGTAAATTCTTGATTTCTCTGTTGCTGTAGCTCATCTGAAAGGTGATGCTATAGTACCACAATGCCCTTTCACCCCAGAGGGCTTGGGGTGGAGGAGGATTTTTAAGGATGAAGGAGGAAATAACCAGCACTGCTCCCAACAGCCCTTTAGGCTTTTCTGCTCACAGCCATAAACCATTGTGCACAGTAAAAGAGATGGTTGTTCTGAGCCTCCTGGRTAATTCCAGGCAGGTCACATCTCCGTGCTGTGCTGAGCTATCCCCTTCCTTGGCATAGTGGGTTATTTGCTCCTTCAAAAAGGGYTCTGAAATCTTTTGATGACAGCTCTCTCATCTGCCAGAGTTATCTGCGTTTTGGCTTGTAGTGTTCTGTTTCAGGATGTGAAACCAGAGGCAGGGCTTCATAGGCGAGTGGTGGTGTCTGAGTCACTGTGTGTTTACACAGACCTGTCTGGCAGGCCTCGAGGTTTGGTTGCAGACCCCGTGCCAGGGAGCTGTCTTCAGTCATCCTAATTTCCTCACCTGGCTGTGGAATTGCTAATTAGTATCCATTCAGGGGCATGGGCTGGGAGGATAATACCATCTGGTCATACAGATTGAGGGCAAAGGCAGCCATGTGTGCCGCTGTCTGGGGTCACAGTTCYGCAGAGAGAAGGAAAAGGAGGTGTAAGATTGACTCTCCTTCCCGGATCAGCTTCCTCAGGATGGTGCTGTGAGACAACAGTCACAGATCCAGGACTTGTAGGACAGGTTCCTCATCCTCAGAACGACTGCTGAAACCAGACTTTATTTTCAGACTTTTTTGTTTTCTYTTCCTTTACCTGTGTTTTCTCAACAAATAAAACATCCATTCAAAAATCTTCCATCTACATCTGTTTCAGAAACAWTTTTCTGCCAAGTCCCCATTTCATACAATGATGCCTTAGGTCCCACCATGATAACTGGTAGCTTAGTCCTTAAGAGTTACCTGCAGGCTGACTGTTGATAGTTAGGGTATGTTGGAACCTAGGATTGTGACTTGGACTTGGCCATGCCTCTTGAAAAATCCCTGGACTATAAGAAGTCCAGCACAGACAGCTAAGCTGTAATGAGCTACTGGGCCTGCTTTGATCTGCTATGTATCTCTGAAAAAACTCACTTTGCAGTGCAATTGCATCCTCATTTTTGTGCCACTGTGGCAYTGAGTCTCTTCCTAGATCCATTCATCTCTTCTGAGTCTTCTGAATTTCCTGCCCACATCACTTGTAAGCTGCAAGGGGCTTCCTTTGTTACTCTCTCATTGCCACTTAGCTCTGAATTTTCATTGCTCCCTACTGCAGACTGTCACGCATATTTAACTTGCTCAAGACTTAGTTCTCTCCCTGCTTTGCCAGTTCCCTATGGACTTTAAATGAGCAGCTATTGGAACAAAGAGGCATGACTTGGTCTACTCACAAAGCAGCTTTTCTGGAAAGATAAAAAAAGATGTTGCAGTTTCAGCTGCAGCAGTTCAGACTTCATCTTATGAATGCCATTTTATGGCAGTCTTTTCAGTAAGTGAACATGCTGCATGATCAGGAGTCTCTTCCTGTGGATTCTTCTTCATCAGGAACTTTTGGTTATTCAAGAAGCAAAGAACTACCAGAAAGCATAGGTTTCTGCACAGCATTTTAATAAAAAGCAGGCATAATTTCCTGATGGATAATCATAAGGAAGAAATCTGATGTACTCCATGTGTAGTTGCCCAGCTTCAATATAAGGTCTCTGTATGCACATCACTTAATATCCCTTTGCAGCCCCCCTTTACCCTCACCATCTGTGTCAGTGTGAGAGGACTTTGATTTAAGCAGTGAAAATGTAGCCAAGGTTGCCTCAGCCACTTGATTCCYGCAACACAATGTCATGATACCTATATTTATAAACCATGTAAGCAAATTGTTTGTGGGTTAAAAYGAAGAAGTCCATCAACTGGGATTAGCAATTTGCCTATAAGAAGCTTATTCCTTTCATGTTGCTTATGCTGACAGGCCCCAAAGTCAAGGAGTGCCTGTACCACACCTTCTGAAGAAACTGTCCAAGAGGATGGGCAATCCTTTTAGAGGACTTTTGCTTGCAATTCATGCAAACAAAAATCAGTGAAGTCATCATCATCATATCCCAAACTTCCTGTCCTGTTYTGAGT